TGGGAATAGTTCATCTACGTTCTACAGCCCCTTTTGGCTATCTGTCATTAGAGTCCAACCATCCCCAGAACTAATTTCAAGATCTGCCGTAAGAAGTCTCATGAACTACCTCCACGATGGTGTGTTTTCTTTCTGAACCATAGCATATGTGATAGATATATGCAATTGTTTGCATCTAGACCAAAGGTTGTGAGCAATATGCCTCCAAAATAGCCCGTAAGTGGCAGCTGTCCGCTCCAATCACTTTCCTTCAACCTCTTATAAAGCAAGTCTTACATGGTTCGAAACAATGTATATCCCCTGGAAGAAATCATTGAACGTGTTGATGGTCACATTTGAGCCTATATTGGTACGCAACACCTTGGGACCATATGACCACAACAGTACGAATTGCTCCTCAATTGTCCCGTGTAGCAACTTATTTGCATATTTTCTCATTTTCCATGCCACATTTTTGGTGATATCAGTTCTCAAATCCTCCTTCACTACTGCCAGAATACTTTTGTTTTCCATTTAGGATCTTCCTCGAAACTGTCAATGTAACGACGAGTTAGGAACTGGTGATTGCAATGCCTATTGTATTTGTCGCAACTGTAGGTGTACTCAGGAGAATATGATCTCACTTGGTTTGGAAGCCCATATCCTCTAGCTGCAACCGCGTTTGCGTATTCCCTGGGCTCGCCTCTTATCATTGGCCTTAAACCACACATTATACCCATTTAAGGCCCCATAAGTTCTAACTGCATAACTGACCTCCATCACATCCCTAAATAGCTTACCAACTTGAAACTGCAGGTTAATCATATCTACATTAATCGAAAACTCTGAAAACCTATAACCAACCTAGTCATGCGATGCACCATCTGAGTGGAGCTCTTCAGAAGAAGGATACTCTAAATCATCCACATCAACATCACCTTGAACTTCGTTCTATACCACATTCTCCACCCCACCCACATTCAAACCTAACTTTATCCCATCTGTTACATTCATTTAGTATAGAACGTCATCCCCTTCTAAGTCTAACTTATTTTCCCGAATACACTAAAATCTGGGTCATCGTCCCACAACGAAACTTCATAGTCGGTGTCACTTCCAGACGTGTTGATTTCAGGAAATGAGCTATGCTCTGCAAAATCAAATTTTTATCAGAATAAAGATCATATAACTACAACGCACAACATACTTGTAAATTTTTTACAGAAACTGATGCAAACTTCAATGTGACCGGGTGAAATTGGGAGCCAACAATTAAATAGAACTTGTTAAATGTTAGAATAATTGGTTATATCACCACAAATAAAAAAAAAACTCGAATGATTCCAACAACAATCGTCAAACATGTGGCCGAAAAAAAAAAGGATGAAACCCACCTTCTTGTTGTCTCTCTGTGCGTGGTCTTCGAATCTTGAAATGTTGGGGTTGGACAGACGAATTAAGTGGCGATTAGGATTTGGGGAAAATTATGGATTTGGGGATTTTTTAGGTTCGAGTGATTGGAAAATGAATGGGTGGTCAACGGCATATGGGCTGGTTTTGAATTTTTTTATTTATTTTTCTTTTTTATTTGAAAGATTCAACAAATCGCATTTTTAAAGACACTTGGGACACGTTTTTGTATGATTTGGATTCCATATCTGAGTTGGCGTTATTTTAGTGGTAGTTACTCGCTACTGCTACATCAGGATTCCTTCGTCGCGTCATCGGAAGTGGCAACAATTTTTTTGACATTGATGAATGGAGAGCAAACTGCGAAAGTTCAGCAAGAATTGCAAAACAAATTAAAATTTAGTGAACAGTCCGTGACCATGGTGTAAATTGAGTGATTTTTGAAACAATTAACTCACTTGTTTGGTGTACCTGAAAATTATTTTTTTATTAAATTTGATAAAAAATAATTAAATGTGTAATTAAAAAAGGATAAAAATTACGAGTCATATAAAATATAAGGCCAAAAATAAGCCATGTTTGAGTCCCATTTTTTTAAAAATGCATTCTTTAAAGACTAATTTTCAACTGCACACGCTCTTATAAAATAATTATACATCTATTTTAAAAATATATATATTTTTTAATCATACATCTTCTATAATTAAAAGTGGCTATGTAACGGAATTTCTTGTTTTTAACGGAAAAACTAACGGAATTTGTTGTTTTAACGGATTATGTAACTGAATTTCTTGTTTTAAACAGGTAGCTGCACCTTCTTTGTATTTTTATCATAACTTTGTATTCCGATATCCGATTGAGGCGATTCAAAATGCGTTGGAAAGCTAACTCATCTGACTACAACTTTGATTCAGATATCATTCTCCAATTAGATCACTTTCTATGCCAAAAATAGGTCTCAATATAACGGACTATGTAACAAAATTTCTTGTTTTAAACAGGCAGCTGCACCTTCTTTCAATATTTTTATTATAACTTTGTATTTTGATGTCTGTCTTTCCTTTGAAGCCAACACTGAAAAAATTTGAATACATATGGCTTACACAGAATCTATGCTCGGACTATGGGAATAGTTCATCTACGTTCTACAGCCCCTTTTGGCTATCTGTCATTAGAGTCCAACCTTCCCCAGAACTAATTTCAAGATCTGTCGTAAGAAGTCTCATGAACTACCTCCACGATGGTGCTTTTTCTTTCTGAACCATAGCATATGTGATAGATATATGCAATTGTTTGCATCTAGACCAAAGGCTGTGAGCAATATGCCTCCAAAATAGCCCGTAATTGGTAGCTGTCCGCTCCAATCACTTTCCTTCAACCTCTTATAATGCAAGTCTTACATGGTTCGAAACAATGTATATCCCCTGGAAGAAATCATTGAACGTGTTGATGGTGACATTTGAGCCTATATTGGTACGCAACACCTTGGGACCATATGACCACAACAATGCGAATTGCTCCTCAATTGTCCCGTGTAGCAACTTATTTGTGTATTTTCTCATTTTCCATGCCACATTTTTGGTGATATCAGTTCTCAAATCCTCCTTCACTACTGCCAGAATACTTTTGTTTTCCATTTAGGATCTTCCTCGAACCTGTCAATGTAACGACGAGTTAGGAACTGGTGATTGCAATGCCTATTGTATTTGTCGCAACTGTAGGTGTGCTCAGGAGAATATGATCTCACTTGGTTTGGAAGCCCATATCCTCTAGCTGCAACCGCGTTTGCGTATTCCTTGGGCTCGCCTCTTATCATTGGCCTTAAACCTCACATTGTACCCATTTAAGGTGCCATAAGTTCTAACTGCATAACTGACCTCCATCACATCCCTAAATAGCTTACCAACTTGAAACTGCAGGTTAATCATATCTACGTTAATCGAAAACTCCGAAAACCTATAACCAACCTAGTCATGCGATGCACCATCCGAGTGGAGCTCTTCAGAAGAAGGATACTCTAAATCATCCACATCAACATCACCTTGAACTTCGTTCCATACCACATTCTCCACCCCACCCACATTCAAACCTAACTTTATCCCATCTGTTACATTCCTTTAGTGTAGAACGTCATCCCCTTCTAAGTCTAACTTATTTTCCCGAATACACTAAAATTTGGGTCATTGTCCCACAACGAAACTTCATAGTCGGTGTCACTTCCAGACGTGTTGATTTCAGGAAATGAGCTACGCTCTGCAAAATCAAATTTTTATCAGAATAAGGATCATATAACTACAACGCACAACATACTCGTAAATTTTTTACAGAAACTGATGCAAACTTCAATGTGACCGGGTGAAATTGGGAGCCAACAATTAAATAGAACTTGTTAAATGTTAGAATAATTGGTTATACCACCACAAATAAAAAAAAACTCGAATGATTCCAACAACAATCGCCAAACATGTGGCCGACACATCGTGTGAAAAATCCCCATTTTTTGAAAGAAAAAAAGGATGAAACACACCTTCTTGTTGTCTCTCTATGTGCGTGGTCTTCGAATCTTGAAATGGTGGGGTTGGACAGACGAATTAAGTGGCGATTAGGATTTGGGGAAAATTATGGATTTGAAGATTTCTTAGGTTCCAGCGATTGGAAAATGAATGGGTGGTCAACGGCATATAGGTTGGTTTTGAATGTTTTTTATTTATTTGAAAGATTCAACAAATCGCATATTTAAAGACACTTGGTACACGTTTTTGTATGATTTGGATTCCATATCTGAGTTGGCGTTATTTTAGTGGTAGTTACTCGCTACTGCTACGTCAGGATTCCTTCATCGCGTCATCGGAAGTGGTAACGATTTTTTTGACATTGATGAATGGAGAGCAAACTACGAAAGTTCAGCGAGAACTGCGAAACAAATTAAAATTTAGTGAACAGTCCGTGATCATTGTGTAAATTGAGTGATTTTTGAAACAATTAACTCACTTGTTTGGTGTACCTAAAAATTATTTTTTTATTAAATTTGATAAAAAATAATTAAATGTGTAATTAAAAAAGGATAAAAATTACGAGTCATATAAAATATAAGGCCAAAAATAAGCCATGTTTGAGTCCCATTTTTTTAAAAATACATTCTTTAAAAACTAATTTTCAACTGCACACTCTCATAAAATAATTATACACCTATTTTTAAAAAAATTATATTTTTTAATCATACATTCTTAAAAACATCACTATTTTATAATACATTTTACCCGAATAAGAATCATTATTAATTATTAACTTAATTTTTTAAACTTACGCCAATTAGGGGCGAAACCGTAAAAGAAGAAGCAACAATCGAACACGAGGATCAACCGCTGCTCTTTTCACCTCCACAATTCATCCACATATGTTTTTTAAACGCCAAAAATCAATTATCTGATTAATCTGTCGCTTATTTCGGATTTTCGCTTTCATTCCGTTTACTCAAGGTGATCTCAACCATTCCAATCGTTTATTCCAGGCCAATTGATGTGTAGATCTATTCTGAATTTCCCCATTTCAATTATCGCATTTTGATATCTTTTTCCCCCCCAATAAATTCTGTTTTTGGCAGATCCAGGATGGATTTCATCAAGGTATTCGATCAAACGGTTCGGGAAATGTAAGTGTATTTTTTCTATTTTCAGATCTAATATTATTTGGCTTAAGATTTAGTATTATAATTTGTCTATTTGTGTATGTGTGATTGGATTTTTGCAGAAAGAGGGAGGTGAATTTGAAGGTGTTGAAGGTTCCCGAGATCGAACAGAAGGTAAATGATGGAAAAGAATAAATCATATTTAGTAGCTTAATTTTGACGAATGTTTGTAATTCTCATGACGCGTAATTTTTGAATATATCTGTTGGGTTGGTAATAGCATGAATTTGGTTTCTTAAAGGTGAAGTTCTAGGATTGATCCAATTTACTGAAGATTTCTTAAAATGTGAAGTTCTAGGATTGATCCAATTTACTGAAGATACATTTTAGCACTGATTCTAGGTATTCTTTATCTGAAAACTGTCACTGCATGCTCAACGGTGCCATAGAAAGACGCTCAAGTTTTCTTGCCATTGATATTTTCTCCAATGTTCCAAGGCATTATATAACTGACACGATAACTTCATATCCCCTCCCTCTCCTAACCTGCCTGTGGCTGAAAGTAAAAGAAGTTGGTGTTACAGGAGCAAGTGTTTTGTCTGAGAGTGCTGCAAATTCTTCAGGAAGGGTGATTGGGGCCTTCAAAGATGTAATCACGCATAATAAATAGAGAAGACACAACGATTAATGGGAATTTAGGTAGAGAAAACCAATTAAATGTGGAATCGAAATTTTATGTATTGCACTTGGAAACATGATTGGATTGTTCAGTACCATAACAATTTTTCTGCAGAAAGTTTAAGTATCAAGTACTAAATGTCATCAGACTTTCTCCCCCCATTCCTTATCCATGGATCTGTTTGTGTGGAGGAATTTAATTATTTTTTATCTGTATATATCCGTGTCAGTTCACTACGTCCTTTTGGGAATCTTCTACATGGATATGCATTGATGTTCTTTTTCTAATTGGCTAAGGTTTTGGATGCAACGGATGATGAACCTTGGGGTCCTCATGGTACTGCATTGGCAGAGATAGCACAGGCCACAAAGAAATTGTAACGTTCAACTCCTTAATAGATGCGCTTGCAGTTTTTATGAAACTTTTTATTTTCTTCCTTGCTACTTCTTTATGAATAAGCTGATGTGCTTTGCTGTCACATAGCTCATTTGTTAAGATATATGCAGCACTGAATGCCAGATGGTTATGAATGTTCTCTGGACAAGATTGACTGAAACTGGCAAGAATTGGCGTTATGTCTACAAGGTAGTGAAAGGATTGCTTTGCTACTGCGTATCTATTGTATTCTGGTAGCTGAACAGTTAAAATGGAACTTCCAATTTTTATTTTTTTTATTCATGTGTTCCTTCTAGTGAATTATCTCCATGTTAGGATTCCAACCTCTGAAGTGATCATGGAAAATTATTCTAAACCATTTCTATCTATAGGCCCTCGCTGTTATAGAGTATCTGGTAGCACATGGATCTGATCGTTCAGTCGATGACATAATAGAGCATACTTTTCAGATCTCTGTATGTATCTGATTTCTGCCAAATTTCTTTTTAATTTTTTTTAAATTGCGCTAGACTTTAGTTGTACTTTATTTTAATTCTTCCTGTTTTGCCTTCTATGTGTCTAGTCTCTTGCAAGTTTTGAGTATGTCGAGCCAAGTGGAAAGGATCTTGGAATTAATGTGAGAAAAAAGGCAGAAACAATTGTGTCTCTTTTAAATAACAAAGACAAAATTCAAGAAGTTAGAAACAAAGCTTCTGCCAATCGTGAAAAGTAAGTTCATGGTTCCGGATCTAAAATCATCTTTGATTGCTTTAAGACTCTACATTTCGTTGTTGAACTAAATCTGTTCTAACGAGCTACCCATCACTTGTCAGGTACTTTGGACTTTCATCATCAGGAATAACGTACAAGTCAGGTGCAGCATCATTTAGTAACAGTAGCTGGAAGAGTAGTGATCAATATGGAGGTTTTGGAAACACTAAAGATGATGATACATATCAGGATAGTTACAAAGAGAAGGATAAATATGGTGAAGATAAATTTGAGAAGACTACCAAATCAAAGAAAGAGCCTTCTCGCTATGGCAGGTCTGCATTTTGACCTCCATTAAGATGCAGTATGGTTAATACCTTTTGAATATTCTAACTACTATGACTAGTTTACTGGTATGTGTAAACTTTTTTGTTGTTCAAAAAGTTTACATTTTTTTCTGCCTTTGACCAGTGATAATTGAAAAAGTATTTCTGGAATGTTCTTAACTTAATTTCCTTTTGTCGTTTATGCTTGGGGGCAATAAGTACTGATGGCTGTGTTTTTTAATTTTCTTTTCTGGTACTGGGATTAATCCGTAATTTAGCCTTTTTCTTTTTTGGGGCCCTGCTCAACTTGCAAAGTACATCTGATATTGACAAGTGTATGTTTAGGCTATTTCTGTGCACTGCTTAGCCCCTCTTAATTTTGAGAACCTTTTGCAGCAAGGATCAAGACTCTGTAGCTGCTAGTGCTTCAAAAACTTCAACAAAGACTAGCAAGCCTGATAAATATGCTGCAGCTGCTTCACAAAGCTCAAGTGTAGCGTCAAATAATTATGATGATGATTTTGATGATTTTGATCCACGTGGGACGACTAGTGCTAGTAAGTACTCTTTACTTCTGTTTTATCATTTTTAATACATTCAGAAAGGCACACTTTTGGTTACTGACCCAGGCATTCAACAAAGAAAAGAAAACCAGTTATATCTGATACACACACTTATCACTTCTATCTATGATAACACGACTGAAAATTTTGATGATGTTATAGAAGGATCCATGCCATTTGTAAGCAGCTCTAAGCCTTCTGCTTACCATGGTTAAACTCTAAAGTTCCAGTAGAATGATGAGTTTTCTGCAAGAGATGCTATAGTAACTAGGTCCTAGTGTTGTGATCGTATAGACTACTGAAACTACTAAAGTATTTATTATAGATGGTTTGAAATTCACTTTTCCTTGAATTTTTTGTTGAACAGAGACTCCTGCTGGAAGTAACCAAGTGGATCTTTTTGGGCAAAATTTGATCGGCGATCTTTTGGATTCACCAGTACCCGTTCCAATGGCTAAGTCTGATTTGAACAATGATAAGTCAGAGGTTGATTTATTTGCTGATGCCGATTTTGTATCAGCAACACCCCAATCGGAAGTAAGGAAAGCACCTGATCCTCAGGTAAGGTCTCCACCGGCAGCCAAAAATGAGTTAGGCCTTTGCTTAATTGGATCTGAGATTCAAAAGTTATGCTGATGGAAACTGCCATGTAATACTTATGTTTTATTGGACACATCATTTGTGCACATGCAGAGTGCATACCCGTCGTAGTGAAAATTTGGGTTATCTTTTTAACAAGAAACAACTATATATAGCCCTTATTTGGTTAAAATTAGATTTTTAGTAGTTTTTAATAAAAATTTTTGAAATGTGTGCTTGAAAAGTTGTGGTCCATGAAATATGTGGTGAAAATTAATTGTTGACTTTGATTTAGATTAAAATCTAGATTTTAATTTTCACTAAACATGGACATAACTTTTAATATTTTTGTTCATGTGTGGTTTGAGTAGAAAACCCTTCATAAGAACTTGTGCATTTTATTGACCGGTTCCATTCCCAGGATTTGTTAATCTCGTCAATGGTTAATTATTTTTGTGAAGCTTTTATTTCTTTCTTGTTATTATTTTTATTGTTTTTCCTTCCTTCTATTTCGGGGTGTGGTGTTTTTTGGTTATGACTGTCGCTTGTGGTCATTCTATGCCAATGTAATGTGCTTGCTACAGGCATTGAAATGAAGTATAGAAGTTATGAATTGGAGGTAGCTAATGTGCAAGTTTCTCCGAATTAAGAAAGATTTGCATTTAAATCAGGTTTTTAAATTGTAAGGAGAGGATGGAAACTGCTCAAATGTTCTCCTATTCAGAACCTGAGTAGTGTTGGCTAGAAAATATAGGGTTATATAGGTTTTTTCCTGGTAAATCCATTCTCAGTAAGCATACTTCAATCTAGTAGTGTGTAATTGTACTTCAATTTTGTTCAATCGAGTAAAACACTTCAATTTAATTTCAATAGGGTATCTACACTTTAATTTGACCTTAATTAAGGTAACTCCAGCCAATTTTATTGACGAAAATAAATCGCTGGACAGTAAAAAAAATGATGGTCATCACACATGGAACATGTGCAAGTTTATTTATTTACTGTGACGTCATCTATTTTCAACTGTCCAGGCGATGGCATTGGAAGTAGTTACCCGATTGAACAAAATTGAAATATGATTGACACTAGAGTGAAGTATAGTTACCACGTATGGAATTTACCCTCCTTTTTTTTGACATCATATGCGAGCACATACGGGAATCTCCTAACACTTCTGGTGGTAGTGTGGTACTTCTAGTGTGTTCTGTTATACACGTGAGAATCTCCCTTCCTGCTGCTGCTCTCCTGCCTCCCTGATTCCATTTGTGCTGTGCCGTTGGATTGCTCAGTCAGATATTGTTAGGGTGAAAAACATTATTAGTCAATCAACTTCCAGTAAATTTTTATTTTAGACACCGATTTTTTTTGTTCCGTCTTGGTCACTCAACTTCCTTTCAGTTTCTATTACATCACCAAGTCAACTTCCACTAATAAAAAGTTAAGAATTGTCCATTGTAGCAAAGGAAGTCGGAAGCTACAACATGAAGATCTGCCACTTAAGTCAATCCATTAGTTTTCAGAAGCTGATTTAATGATGTTATTGAAACAGAAAGGAAAGTTGAGTCATTCAGCAATAACATGAAAATAAATAGTTTGAGTGACCAAATGTGTTTTTCACGCAATATTCTTATGCAGATTCCTTTTTTGTATCATTTTTGGAAACAGTGGGTGTCAGTCAGCTTGAAGCCTTTAGCTGGAGTACTTAAATTTTCTGAGTCTGTTTCATTCTTTCATGTGCTTGCCTTGATCCTGCTAATTTTCCATATTTTTGCAATTTGTACAGGGCAATGTTGATCTATTTGCTTCCCAGCCTGCCCCTTCTCCTGCTGTTTCTTCAACATTCGATTTCTTTGCTGCACCTGATCCAGCCCCTCAGCCTGACAACAACGCTTCAAAATCTGATGCAACTACTAATATAGTTGATCCATTCGCTGCTGTACCACTGAACAATTTTGATCATTCCGACCCATTTAGCTCATTCACTTCTCATACAGGACCTATATCAACAGCATCTACCGAACGCTCTTCTAATGATGGAAGCAATGCAAATGGGAATGGAACTTCAGTTGATACCAAGCCTGTGCCCAAGAAGGATCCATTTCAAGTTAAATCTGGAATATGGGCTGATTCTTTGAGCCGTGGAATAATTGATCTAAATATATCTGCACGTAAGTTTTCCATGCTGGCTTTAAGAATTTAATTTGTTGAAGCAGTTGTCAATGACCTGCACATTTATATCAACACCATGCTTTTCTTTACTCATGTTTGGCTAATCTTAATAGTAGGGTTACTTTTTCGTAACTACTTAGTCTCCAAAAATGATCGAATAACTTGCATTTTCCTTCCTCTTCAGTTAAAACAAAAAAAAAAGTTCCTTTTTCCAAAATAATTTTTAGCTTAATGTGTCAAAATAAGTTGCTTACGAGTTTCCATATTTCACCAATAATGAGGTTAGTTATGTTGAAACTTCATTATTTACTTGGCCTATGATTGGTATGGTATCGATGTTGAAAAACTCATTTTTCTCCAAACTCTTTTCAATCACACGTTCTTCCAATAAAATAATTTTGCACGTGCATCCATAATTACTTTTTAACCATAATCTTCCAAAAATATGACTTTTTACAAAATCTATTCAAACTTTTAAGCTTAGCTAAAACACGAGAAGCTTATTTATACTTCAGCAGTATAGTGCATGTAAAGTTTGGTATATAACTATCCCGACAAGTTCTTGATTTCTGTTTTGTACCGCGTGCTTGCAGCCAAAAAGATTAACTTAGCAGACGTTGGCATTGTCGGCGGGTTATCCGATGGATCAGAAGAGAAGGACAAAGGACCTGTAACTTCATTTAACATGGGTCGAGCCATGGGTAGTGGATCTGGACTTGGTAAATCCGGGTTTACATCTACAACAGGCGGAGACAACTTCTTCTCAAACCTAGGCAGCCAACAATATGACTTCAGTAGCTTTCAAAAATGAGTTACTTTTCTACAGTGTTGTGCAATTTCCATTTTAGCATTCTTTTGTGAATTTTACCGAGAACTGAATTGATGCGTCTTGAAGTGCTCAAGTAAACAAGAAAGGGGTCGATATTGTGCCTATCACCCGATATTAAAGATTTTTTAATATTCTATGTGATTGAAAAGCTTGGAGATTTGCAAGACAATTACCTCTTAAGAATGATTGTTACATACCATCAAAATTCTTGGCTGTTACCGGAACGTAGGCGGTTGTGCATGTTTGGCTAAACTTAGGGTCTGTTTGATTGCAAAGGTGGAAAATGGGTGGAAAGAAAATGAATTTCAGGGAAAGTAATTGCCTAAAAATTGTTTTCCAATGAATTGTTAATTAAGTGTGTTCGATTGGTATAATTTTTTACCCGAATTTTTTTTGAAATTTTGAATTTTTTTGTTCACGTTTGGCTTTATTTTACATGAAAATTGTCCATTAAATTAAATTTTTTTTATAATTGGTTATNTTTTTTTTTTCCAGCAAAATCTGGAATTCCTTTTCCCACCTCCCATAAATTGAGGAAAATGGGCGTGTGGGGGGGGGGGGGGGTGCGGGTTGGGAAACAAAAAATGGGTTTTTGGAAACAAAAAATTACCTATTCAATGGCCTTAGAATAATTTAATAAACTCCTATCGATTAATAACCTATCTAAATAGGTTTTTGGAAACAAAAAATTACCTATTCAATGGCCTTAGAATAATTTAATAAACTCCTATCGATTAATAACCTATCTAAATAGGTTTTTGGAAACAAAAAATTACCTATTTTAAGCTTAGCCAAACGTGCCTCCACAGACTACAAGATCCAACAAGGATCTTGGATTCAACTCTCCATTGAACATAATTAATCTTACATAAAAAGACTAATTTTTGTGTCAACACATCAGTTATACAAGTTATATCACCAAGGAAGTATTATTTTTATGAACTAAAATTGATACGAGGCAATAATGCCAACATTATCTACAGAACATGTAACAATTATCAGTTGCAGAATTAAAGACATCAAATCAGCGTACTTGCAACTCGTTATCCACCGGCTATGTCGAATCTTGCCTTTTTCTCTTCCTGTATAATACGAAAGATACGAGCAGCAGATTCAGTAGCAGACCTGGCATTGTGAGGCACAACCTTGATAGCGCGAACAGGGTGCTCCAGTTCGGGAGGCTGAGGGCTAGAGCCCGGGATGTCAATAGCACGAGACACAGAGAAAAGTGGAAAAGCATTTTGTCTTTCAACTGGGCTATCCGCCCGACTATCTTGCAATCTCCCACTCGGACTACTTGCAGTGCTACCTTGTAATTCACCATCCTGACGTGCACGCAACCTTGGAACATCTGGACGAGACTCACTCGTCTGGCTCGGAATATTAAATGAGTTCTGATGTTGGGCTTTGAAATTGGTTTCCTCGGCTGATAATTTATCTGGTGTGGCAAAGGGGTTCCTTTGCTCCACGGACGAACCTGAAAAGGCTGGATTCACCATGGGCATGCCATATGGAGGGAAGTAACTACCAGGTCCAGCCGGAGGAAAGAAAGGTAACTGATACTGATGATGTGGGGTCGGGACTCCGTATGCAGGAGTTGAGAAATTACCCATCACTGGAGTTGATCCCGGAGGTCTATAGACAGGGTCCACAAACTCGGGTTCAGGATATGGCTTGTACACTAGTCCTTCAGAAGGAGACATCACTGGAATTAACCACTGTTGCCTGTGTGGAGGATTGTAACACCACGTTCCAACATTGGGATTACTACTAATGGATGGTGCCGGAAGATTTTTAGAAAATGGTTGACCGTTTGAAGGTGGCACACCACTTTGCACGGGAGAAAGAGATGCCTTCCCCACTGCATTTTCGATCGAGCATTCAACTGTATGATCTGGCTTCTCGGAGTCATCTTTGTTCTTAGGAACACCTGGAAGTGCTTTAAGAATATAGTCAAACGGGAGTTTCTTTGCAGGTGAAGCCTCTACAGGTTTGCTCAAATAAGAAGTGTCCTCAACCAAAAGATGTGGCAACCCAGCAATCAATCTCTGAACCTGATACAAATGAGAGAATATTATCCACAAATGCTTAATTGATTTCTAACCAGAAGGTACAGAAAAATAAAAAGACTTCATTACACCATGTTGATGCTCAAATCTACTTAAATTGAATTCTCACCTTGATCAATCTATGCAACTCGAATACTTGAACCGCAAAAATTCTTTGTTGACTGTAAAGAATGAGAAAAACAGGGTTAAATACACGCAGTAGGAAAGAAACATGTTATGAGGAAACAAAGAATAAGACGTGCCACTAAAAATTGCCACACTCTCTCAGGAGGAGGATGCTCTAAATTGAAAACCACCTCATCTAAAAGCTTCCGAGGTTAGAGATGAGGCACATTTTTTATTAAATATAGTCTTCAATATACCCCTCTCATGTGCAGGCCGAATTTATTTTCCATCAAAGACATGAAACATGCATAATTTTCATAAATGACTTAATCCATAACCTTTATCTGATCTAATATCATATCAAACTACACTGCCTAAAAGCTTAAATTATTAGAGGTAGAGACACATTTATATAGATATAGTCTTCAACAATCCAAAAAATATTACAAAAATATGCCAAAGAATGTTCGATGTTTGTCTATGTGGAATTGAATCAATACGCGTTGACTCATAACATCACTAGAAACTGTTTCTACAACAATAATTTCTGAAAAGGCAGAAAGAAGAAACGAGGAAGTCAATTTATGTAAGTCTAAGCTCAACAACAATCCCGATGTACGAGAAACCACCTCCCAACATAGCATCAATTCATGGAACTTATCTCTTGTGCATGTAGATATAACTAGAATCTTAATAGCAACTTAGTCTTCGCTAAATGATTCACACTAGAACGCTTCATAAAAAGAAAGACAAATATAATGGGAATGCAGATCACATAAGTAACTTTCAAGCCAAGGATATAACGATGATCGCTTGGAAAGCTAAACACAGTATAAATTTAGTTTTATACTTGTAATTAATTTTTTTCTTGTCGAAATCTTTTAAATATGAGTACCTATTTATCATTTAATAATAACTTTGAGTTAAAAATATATAATATTTCTAGAAAAATAACAATGGTAGAGTGTTCAAAAAGTGTCACATGTTCGACTCGGACACGCTACTCTAGTTTAAGTGTCCGTGCAACACAACTTATTTTAGAACTTACTTATTTACTTACACGTAAGCTTTTAACGCTTAGCCAATCATGCTCTAAAACATCCTCACATCCAACAAATAAATCTAGCTGTTAATGTCAACAACTAAACCAGTAACAAGTTGTTAGAAGACAAACAAGACAGAAACCACGGAACAGAAAACTGCCTAGCTTCCACATTGTGCAACTGGAGGAGCCAACATGATATCCCAATCTGAAGCACAAACCTTCTCCATCGAATTTGTATAAAAATTTCCAAATAGTAAGTTCTCATTGATCAAATCTCTACAGAAACTATCAGGTTCTCTCAAACCATACAAGATGTTTAATGCCCATCCTCTAGCAAATCAATTTATCCAAGATCATAAATTTTAAGATCCGGAGACAACACACTCGACAATATAGCTTACTCAAACAATAAGTTAACAAGTTTGTCAGCTAGTATCCACATAGAAAACAATCATGTGAGTAAAGAAATAATGTGACAGCACAAGTATTGAAAAGGCTATAACATGGATGGGAACCACAATTGGTAAAAGTGAAAGGTTTCTGCACAGTGTTCATTAAAAGTTATACTCGATCTCCATCCATGAATTTTATTTTATAAGTCATAGATAGCACCAATATATTAGTAATGTTTTTTTCCCTATAATGAATAAGCACATATTCCAAACCAATATATAGTGCATGTTTGGGTAACAATATAATTTCCTTATAATTTAATAGTCAAAGTCAAACATTAATTTTAACCACGTATTCTGTAAGGCCCACACCACACCTACTACTCACTAATCCACTAATTTTTATCACATTATAATTTCAGCAACTTATAATTTTATCCAAACAAGAACATAGATACAAGTGCATCAAAATAAACATGGACCAATCTCATCATCACAGAATAATGGAAAGGCCGCCATACTTCTATATGGGAATACAGATCAGCTACTAATCAAGAAAATAAATTACAGTTATGAGTATAATTCGAAGGCCTGATGCAGAACTTGCTGTTAAAAAGCGCACTTCAGTACTGTGCACAGGAGGATTTGGACCAAACATATGATATTAGGACGAAAATTTCGTTTTACTACATTTGAACAAGCTCCTGAATTTTTTATATTATAGAATTAATTATTTTTTCAGTTGAATGTGTTTTAGTATTTTCACAAGGGCTGATGCAAGTACTTTCCATAGTGCATAAGGTCTTATTCTAACATAGTCCCATATTTTCAGAAAAAATCCTACCAGAGTAGCAGAAACATAGTTTAGAGAGTTGAATCACGATCAGCACACAAACCAGGAAAAGTGGTATGGAAACTCGTATCCAGGATTCTAGGGGAAGGGGGGAAAAGAAAAAGAGAAACTTTGAGTGATCCTCATTAATATTTCAAGGAAAATGCTTGTTGTACATTACCATTTACGAATTTTTTTACAGATTGGTGGGGTGGCAAAAAGAAAGTGGGGGAATTTTACTTTTTTAGTTGGTTGGTGAAATTTTCGTAGATCGTCAGATCATCAGTTGATAAATAAATTCGTAAATTGTGATGTACATATAGTACAAGGGATATTTCAATCCTTCAATTTCCTGTCCTCAACTATCTCCAGATATGAACATTTAATATTACGTAGACATGTACAGAGTATCAACACATTATCATTACAACTACTAGCAAATGTCAAGATGGACAACGAAGAATAAATTACTTATGGTTCCACATCAGTTAGTGCACGACCTCTTACAAAAACAAGGTCTTCCACTTCTCAACAGACCACATTATTACAAGATAATTTATTGAAGTGGAAAAAATTGAATTGAATTTTGCAGAATAAATGTGATCAGCAAGAAACTTCAGTTGAAATTCTCCATATAGCAAGAGTTATGGATAAGACACTAAGTGGCATTAGAACTTACTTGACAATAGCTCTTCTGGCTTTCAAAAAATGTTTCTGATTTATCACTCTCACAACATCATCGGGCGATATATTATGTTCAGGTATCGATTCCACCCTGTCCATATTTCCTTTCTGCAGTGACCTACGCGACCTGTCTTCATAAGAATCCATAACTCTTCTAACACCATGCACCGTATTATGTTCTGACAGAAAATCCCTTTTTGAAGTAGACTTATTTTCTTTATCCATGGCTATACTATGATCCCTCAAAGCCCCATTACTATGCACACCAGTGGAACACCGTGGCTCAGCACAGGGCAGTGGCTGTACAATGTCACCAGCCTCCCATCGGTCAATAACATTAGCAGGATCATCTCTTGGTTCAAAACATAGAGATGCATAAGTTTGCTTACAAGGATCAACCGCCTTATCAATTGATGAAGCAGCAGAAGGCACTGGATGGGAAATTGTATTTGTGGTGTTTGGGGACAAAACCCCAAGCCTGAATCTCTGTGAAGGAATACTAAGCTGCTCATAAAGGGCCATTTTGTTTCTTGGAGGAGCTCTTGGCCATCCTTTTTCTGCATCATTCACATGGAGCCTTGGAAACATAGGCCGCACGATTTTCTCCTCATCTTTGCCTCTCTTCATCTTCACTTCTATCTATTAGAAACCTCTTTCTTTAATTCTTCAGAATCACCAACAATTTCATATAACTCACCAGGAAATCCCATGTTCCAGATTTCAAAATCAAGTATTTTCTTACAAGAAACTGTACTCTAAAATATCGAACACTCAAATCAAATCAAATCATATCATTTGCTACAAATATTGAATTCCAAGAAAATCAACATTCTACTTTCTCTCTCAAAACAGTGAAAAGCAAAGCAAATGCACTTGAACTAAAGCCAGATTCCCCACCAACATTGATTCCTGTTTTTTCCTCGAAATAAAAATATCTGAAAAAAGTTTCAGAATATTCCAAGAAAAATTACACGATCAAAGTTTCATCCCAATAATTGAAATGCAAAGGGGTCAGAGATATGGGCAAAAGGGGTTAGAATTCGGAATTCCTGGAGGGTAAAAAGAGATCAAATGGGACCGAACGAAAAGGCGAAATCGGCAAAAGGACGATTCTTTGTGGACAAAATTTGGATAAGTTTGTTTCAATTTCATGTCCAATAAAATAATTTTGTAAATGAATTTATAACTTTATTATTTTTTATTCACAAATTGTAAAAAATTACTTTTCATGTGGTTCAAAACGATTTTAGGAAGAACTTATTATTAAAATATAGAAAAAAAATTATGATTTCTCGCACAAAATTAATTTACGATTTTGTTACGGATACATCACGGTGTCCACCCCCTTACTGGGGGTGGGACCCACTTAAATAAAAAAACATTTTATACAAGTGGGTTCCACTCCATGTGAGAGGGGTGGATACCTTGATGTACATCTTTTGATGTACAAGTAGATTTATCCATTAATTTATTAAAAGAATGTTTAATTGAAATTAAGTTTGATGAATTTTAATTTTTTTTTAAAACAAATAGTACTTTTCTTTCTTAATATAACATTTTAAAGGAAAACTTACAAAATACCCCCTCTATCGAGGGAATAATTATCGTAATTTTTAAGTTTACACTTTACATACTACATTTACAATATGGTAAAAAAAAAAAACAAGTTTTGTCTTTTGCTACAAAATAATAACAAATTTGTGATTAAAATAGCTAAATAGACCAAAATATTCATAATTTAAAATAAAAAAAATTATATCTTTTGTATTACATTATGTGACCCTTTTTGTATACAATTATTTTATTCTCAGAAAAATCAATTATTATTCCATTTTCATCTAAACAATTATTTTTTTTCCACATTTATCTATCCTCCTTAAATTGACATTAAGTCATATACATTTTTTTTATTTTCTTTTTTTTTTACACAATTATATAATTTTACTTTTTATTTTTGTATCTTCTATGAAGCTTTCTCATAGAAAAGAAAAAAAATTTAATCTATAGTAAATAAAAATATGCATGCATTCTTAATAATTTTTCAAATAGCAAAATTACCCCCTACTAAAAATAATAAGAAAAAATATTTTTATCTACAAAATAACAACCATGTAAACAATTATTGTAAATTTTATTTATTGAACATTTTTTGTTGATTTGATTGCAACAATTGAGAATTTTATCTTTTTCTTACAATATTGAAAGAGTCGATGAAGTATATCTTTTGAATTAATCAATATTTTATTAACTTATTAACTTTATTTTTTGTTGATTTAATATTAGAGTTTAGGAATAGAAGATAATAAATTTTATAAAATAAAAAATCTTTTAAAGAAAAAATATTTTAATATCAGTAACTAGAAAATAGTATGCAAAACGTTAAAATCTTAGTGACTCGTATGGATGCTTTAATTTCAAGAATCATCTTGCCTCAGCAATGACCTTTCATTGCTAGTAGAAGTAATTTTGAAAACATCACTTTGACTCAGGAGTTTGTGCATTCTATGAATAAAAAAGTGAGGGAGAAATGTGGTGCTTAAAGTGGACATGGCAAAAGCATATGATAGGGTGAATTGGTGGCTCTTGCAACATGTGCTCCCTACGAGCTTTTGGTTTCCCAAAAGGATTTTGTCGGTTGGTCGATTAGTGCATAACAACCATTTGGTACTAAATAATGATGAATGGTACTACTCAAGATTTTTTCAAATCTGCACGTGGATTACGGCACGGGGATCCACTTTCTCCTTATCTTTTCATCATCATGCAAGAGGTTATTGAAAAAGCGTTTTGGTGATGGACGTATTGGTAGTTTTTCTCATACCCGAGGTTGCCCTTTGGTGTCTCACCTTACGTACGCAGATGATCTTGTGATATTTGCTAATGGGTGTAAAAAATGTTTGAAAGGTTTAATGGAGGTGTTGGCAGTGTATGAAGATTGGTCTGGACAACTTATTAATAAGGATAAGTCGCCAATTTTTTTCTCTAAAACCTGCTCCTTGGTGCAAAAGGGTGATATTATATGGGAGTGCCATTGGTGCAAGGTAGATTGAGTGCTAGACATTTAGAGACCCTTGTTCAGAAGATTCAAAAAAAAATTGCATGACAGAAGATGCTATTATTATCACGAGGTTGGCGGTTAGTAATTCTTCGTCATGTCCTTATGAGTACGGCCATTCATTTACTATCAGTGTCGAGTATTTCTAATCCGTGGTTGGGAAGTTAAATTCCGTTCATTCTTCTTTTATTTTTTATTTTTTTGGGGGGCGGGGATTGAGAATAATGGAAGGACTAGGAAAAAATTGGTGTGCATGGGATAAAATGTGTCGGCCTGCAATGGAGGGGGAGGGGGAGTGGGAGGACCGGGGGGGGGGGATTGGACTAAGAAGATTTGACGATGTCCAACGATCTCTACGTATGAAATTTTCTTGGCAACTTCTATCTTCAGACTCATTGTGGGCAAGTTTATTCCGAGCAAAATATCTGAAACATGGGATGTTGGATATAGCAAATGCAAGTCGAATTTGGACTCGGTTTTGGAGTTCTTTCAGAGATTGCAAAGATAAGAGATGGTTCGTGCTCGTTTGGTGTACCCATAGGGGTGTCCATAATGGACACCCGGCGCCCCATCATTGGTGGGGCACCCGTTACCAATGGGTACACTTATGTACCCATAGCACAACCCAAAAATAAATGAGATTTGTTTAGAAAGTGGGTGGGATATGGTTAGGTTGAGAGAAGAATTGGTAGGTGCGCCAAGTTGTTGCTCAGGTTGCAAATCGAAGAAAGGAGACTGACTAATTGATTTGGAAGCCACAAAAACATGGCTTATTTAATGTGAAAACAACGTGGGACGTGGTGAGGATTCAAGGTGAATATGTGCAGTGGGCTCATTGGGTTTGGCATAATGCTTTGCCTAAACGTGTTTCAGTTTTCATCTGAAAAGCCTCGAATGGAAGCTTAGGTGTGGATGAAAGAATTAAAGCCTTAGGTATAAACCTTGCTTCTAAATGTGATTGCCGCTCTACGGGTCAGGAGGAAACTGCTTCTCATATTCTGAGCTCTAGAGAGTTTGCAGACAAAATATGGAGGAAGGTTTGTGTACTGGTGGGTGTACGTTGGAGGGCAAGACAACCTTGATGGGAAAGAATAAATTTATGGCTGGCAAGAGCAAAAAGATCTTCGCATGTAGGTTGTTTGATTGGCTTAATTCCATGTTTAGTTACTTGGAAACTATGGATGAGAAGATGTAAAGTGAGGGGAGGGAAAGATTGAATCTGTAGAATAGGTGTTTTTATCCATCAAATTCTGGTTACAACATGCTTCAATTAATATGTCAAATACAAAGCTGTGGACTAGTCAAGATGAACATGTACTCCGTATGGTACAGGTCCTTCGGACTCCAGTCAAAGCTAACCAGATTAGAGTGGTTCTTGGACTAAGACAATACATAATCGAGTGAAACTTAATGTGGATGGTAGCAATCTAAGGAATCCTGATCAGGTTGGTGGAGGGGGAGTGGTTCGGAATGATAAATGTGAAATGTTGTCAGCTTTTAGTATTTTCTTTGGGGAAGGTACTAATAATGAAGCTAAATTGAGAGCGATCGTTGAAGGTTTAAAGTTATACCGTGAATTAGAATTATATCATATTGACATTGAGTGTGATTCACTATTGGTGGTTTCTTGGATTTATCACATAAGTGTCCCTTGTGGTATTTATGGGAAGATCTTGCGGAGCGATTGAAAGAGTTCGATTTTCAAATAGCACCCCAGTGGAGAGAAAGCAATCAAGTGGCTAATTATTTAGTTGGGATGGGAGCTAAAGGTTTGTCGCAATGGCATACCACGTGGACGAAATTTTCGAGCTTGTTCAAGGATTACTTCGTTTGGATATGATGGAGGTGGCTTACTTGAGAAAGTAAGTCGTGGTTGGTAATAGTTTGAATAGTTGTGACTTTTATGGTTCTGCTTGTTTAGATTGTTTTGATATTTTGCCCCTTCGGTATTCCTCCACCATAGGTGTGGGAATCTTTGATTTAAAAAAAAAAAAAGAATGTAAATTATAAAAGACAGTATGTAAATGTAATTACACCCTATACATAATGTATTTTGTAAATTTCCTTGTTTTCAAATATTTTTTCATTAGGTGTACAAACTTGCAATATTTGTATGTTCATGTCAAAAAATAGTAATGTGTTCTATTTTTTACTAAGCCTCTGTTTGTCTACCATTATTCCAAAAAATTATTTGCTACAGTAATATTCTTCACCATATACTCACCCAATAAAATATTCTATACACAAACCAATAAAATTATTTTAAATTTCAACCACACATTCTCAATGCTATTCATTACTCTATTTTTCTCCCAATAATGAGTGACAAACACATCCTAAATAACATTATAAGTAAAAAAAATTTCTTCGAATTCAAAAAAGTTATATTCAATTCACCATTATTCTATTGAGAGTACATAGTTATAGTCCATATTTGGTAGAAATTAAAAACTAGATTTTAAATCTAAATTAATAATTAATTTTAAATCACATGTTTTATAGGTTTATAACTTTTCAATCACACATTTCATCAAAATTTATTAAAATTTACTAAAAATCTGATTTTAATCTCCACCAAACATGTGTATAGTTTTCAACTATGAAGCTTGATTAAATAGGACAAACAAAGATTTGCGTAAATTACTATAAACACGTTTATATTCTTACAATGATTCCATTTTTTTTTAAAATACATTTTTCTGTCTTCTTTTCAACCACATATTTTTTATAAAATAATACTACATGCAAACTCAAAATTTTTTCTTATTTTTTTATCACACATTCTCTGTCAATTTACTATTTCAAAATACATTCTCCATCAATTATGATGTTACTAGTTAACATAGTTTTTATAGAGTTTTGAGTCTCAAGCCTCGTTGAATAAAACGATGGAAAAATGTTTATGTAAACTACGTATCCAAAATAAGAGTAGTATGACCGTATATAATTGAAATGAAATGAAACTTAGTATAACTCTCAATCCTATATATGCTACTAACTTAGTCAAATATAATGAAGTAACACTTTAAATTTCATAATATAGAGAAAGATATCCATGGAAGAGTTGTTACGAAAGGTATATTCAAGCAAAATGCATTTTATTATTTCTGTATAACAAGTTTGAAGGTGTAGACATTATTGGATGAGAACAAAATGTCTTCTCATTCCAATTAAGAATTTGTCGAGACCTTTTAAATCTTTCTATTTTTCCTTTTTTTAAATCTTTATTGCACATAGCCTCTTATTTTGGCTCCGGGTGAGTAGGGGTGTTCATCCTCGCAGAAAATTCATCTTTGTAGAAAAAGTGATAAACACAACTCAGAAAGACGACGTGACTAAAGCTCAAATCGCAATAGCTTTAGAGACCTCTCTTTCAAAGTTAATGACAACACGAATGCTAAATTTCGCGAGTTTGTTCTTCGCCTGAAGGTTAAACAACTTAGCCCCTGTTTGATTGTCATTATTTTGAAAAAATGATGTTTTCAATGGTGATTTTTTGAATAATAAGTGATTAAAAAAGAAGGAAAAAATTTTAATTTACGTGCAAAATATTTTATTGTATAAATGTATGGTTGAAAATGAATATTAGAATTAAAGAATATTATTTTAAAGGGAAATAAACATGGACTTAATCTAGCATAATTGTAGGACAATATTTAATAATTACTTTTAATTTTCATCCAATGCTAAACAATTCAAAGATCTAGAAATAGACAAATCAGGTATTCAGAATAACTTACTAGTTACTACATTTGAGACAAAGGATCACTGTCCCACACACTCACTACATATAAACAATTTGTTTGAGACAATAGATTATGATGGCATAAAAAGTGAAATCATTTAAATAAAATTTTCACCTTTCATTATACCTGACATTGTGAGGTAAACTAGTCAATCGAATACAAATTGTGACACAATATATCTCATAGCCTCGACTCTCATAAATTTCGTCCTCATTTTCTCCCCCTTGGTTCCACTTTCACGTATAAATCCTCGTTTGATTCCTAATATCAATTTTACTCTGAGTCCGAGTCTATGTTCCCCATTGCTCTTAACCCTCTTGGTCTCTGCAAATAAATAAATAAATAAAATTACAAGGTCTAGATTGTTTAAAATATTATATCTCCATACCCAAATGACAATGCAATTCGACTCTTGAGTGTAATTAAGATATACTCAAGACGTACATGCACAAGTTTCAATAAATCAAACCAAAGATGATTACCTTCTTGGAGACTTTCTTCTCTCTCACCTCGTACCGTTCTAGTGTAAGATCACAAAGCCATGCCCCGGGACTTACCAACTGCACGAGCACAAGAAACCAATTAAAACCTGGTTGCGAATAGAAGTGAGGTGTGCGTGAAGTAGATTTGACAACATTTTTGGAATATTAAAGGTATGCTACAATTCGAATGTCATACAGGTGTAATCTAAAAGTTGAGTGATGGCTTGCCCTAAGCTCAGCATCTAACCAGAACGAACCATCACACGACCCACATTACATATCTTGATCGACTCAAAAAAATGAGTAATGATATTCATCATTGATTATAAATATCAGTGATCTAGGTCGCAGTAAATTTCTTGATTAATTGTTCAATACATTAAAATGAATCACAACAATTCAGAGGATCATTGCAAGTTATATCATAACTAATGATGAAAAATATTAGTCAAAGAATGGGAGCGAAAATGGTGTAGATTGAAACTTTACTAAAACTCTACCAGTCCAATATAAATACCAGCCCAAGACTATCGCTACTCGAAAGAAAATACCAACCTCAACACAAATTACCTAATATTTTGTTGGCTGTTTTTGCTTTTCAGTGCTTCGTCAATTGCCTATGTGGTCCAAGGTAGGTTCCACTATATCATCATAATACAACATGGAAATGACACGCTATCTTATCTATCTATGCGTTTTTTTAGAGGTCCTACGATAGAAACAAAAGGAGTAATAAATGAAACAAAAAATATAATATAAAGGGCATAAAACCAAAATTCTATCTCCAGATATGGTTAAACAAGTATATTTATTAAATCTTACTTTGGCGATTTAATAAATAAAAACCCATTGATTAACAACCATGTGCACGCAATCAAGTAAACCACACAAATCCTTGTCCGAAGTTGATTTTTCAAGAAGTGATTTCGTGAAAAGTGATTTTTCAGAACGTGTGGTTAAAAAGTAAGGAAAGTTATGGAAACATTCATAAAACGTTTTTCTTTTTTCTTCTATTTTTTCGGAAAATATGTGATTGAAAATGAATGAGTGGAAAAAATCAGTATCAAACAAAGGCCAAGATTTATCAATTATTAAACCTAAAAGTATAGATATTTGGGCTGTTACGGGGAAAAAATAATAAAAATTTGACGTATAGAGATCGACTTGAACACGAAAAGCATCCCCCAAACCACAGCCGAAGATGAAGGCCATGCCCAGCCTAAATTTTTGTCCATCATTATTAAAATTACAATGAGAAACACAAAAAGTAAAATACTAGCCAGCTCATGCCTGACTTAACCTAGAGATGTCAATTCAGTTCGTCGGCTCGAGCAACCCGTGGCTCAGCTTGAGAAAAACCTAAGCGGGCTTAGCTCGGGCCGAGCATTAATTTCGATTGTAAGCCCGAGCCCATCGTGTTAGCCACGCCAACACGGGCCATTTTGGCCCGTCTTTGAAATAAAGCTACTACTTGCTTGCAAAAGCAACTACAATTGCCTTTTTAAAGGTGGCTAACACCCCAGCCATTAGGGCTCAATTTCAAATGTTTCCCGCCAAGAAAATTGCCCCAACATGGTAAGTAACCAATCTACCTGCAAAAACTTCTTTACACATGTCAAATTCTTGACATACAACAATCGAAAGTAACCGCTTCAGTGAAATCCGTCCAACTAGCTCAGAATACTTCCACCAATTGATTTTCAGGCTTACATGCCGCGAATATAAGCTGCATTCAACCGAAGGCCAACTCCGCTAAATGCCTTGCATGCCAGGCTCCGCCCGTGTCATGCCTTCGTCCATGCACTACAAATCCAATCACTCCCGAACGATTACCGACAATGCTGCCTTAAAACGAATATTCCCAAAGATGCACTTAACCGAGTACATCTTGAACATGGCTTCAACATGAGAGCGAGGCTTCCCCAGGTCTTATCCATTTTAGCACTTGTGACCATTAGTTGTACAGTTGCCTTTAAATTCAAACGACTGCCTTTAAAAAGGCAGCTGTATAGCTGGCTTTAGAAAAAAAAAAGGAATTTCAAGAAAAAACGAGCCGCGGCTTGACTCGACTCGGAAATGCCTAAGTCTACCCTATTTTTTCAGTCAAGCTTTCGGCTCGGGCCAAAAAAGCTCAATCAGTTTTTCCCGAGCAATGAGCCGACTCGGCTCGTTTACATCCCTAACTTGACCAGCCATAAATTGTGGGCAATCTTTTCAAAACATCGACAATTCAACTCATTTACCCACAAATGGACACATAAATGCCATATCCAACTTGTCCCTGTACATTTTTTAGCTACATGTACAAAGTTGAGATTATCTCATATGAGACGGCATTAAATAATAAGACCGATAAAATGTCTCATATTCACGCATTTAGCTAACATTATCATTTTATCTCACATCACCTACAACATCACTTAGAGATAATCCTCAATTTGTTAGTCTTGTACATAAACCAATTTTTTCCCCCTATTTTTTACCACCCAATTCTCCAAAAAAGAAAAAAAAAATCATTTTTACAAAATATATTCTAAAAAAATTAACCTCAAAAAATATATTCTAAGAAATGGACATTAAACAGTTGCAAAGTACTATTCTTTTCTAGTAGTGCCAACACAACATCAATGGATGTCGCAGGCCCACGTTGCTTACACTAACTGATAATAAACAAAACATACTATTGCATTAATCTAGAATTTCAAAAGTGACTTTTTCCATGCCTCATTTATTAAAATGTACTTTTTCTTAGCTTTTAATTTAACACAAAACATGTGTTTGTCGTACCATGTCAGCGACTCATCTAAAATCTAAAATTTTAATTCTTAAGTAATGAAAATTTAGTTTATACATCATATATTTCATTTATTCCAGCAAATACTTCTTACTAGGCACGGTAATATTTATTTGCGATAACATATTGGTAATGAATATAGATTCCTTAATGGTAGATTTCAAATTTTCAATTACCCACTTGACAAGACTAATTACCATAACTACACCAAATAAATGAATTAACAATCGAGTACAACCATAGAGATTGATGTATAATTTAATTTCCAGCTATACAAGACAATTAATTAAGGATTAAGGACTTGTTTGGGTGAAGTATTAAACGTGATTAAGCACTAGTAAAACCTACAAAATTTTCACTTCTTTTTCTTTCTATCGGTTTCCTTGCTCCGTCTAGGCATCTACTAAATAAAATTTTAACTTCTACCTTACCTTCCAGCTAAGTCAAATACAAATAACCAAAAATACCATTAGGGGTGAAAAAACTTACATTGAGGCTGCGCTGAATAAACTTGGCACGTTTCTTTGGTCTTTGAGGCAGCTTAGATCCTTTAATGGCCATGAAATCCTCTTCTTTTTCCTGGTTTGTCAAGGCAATCACGAACTTGGGCGGCCACACCGCCGGAATCCCACTGCCCCCGGAGGATGACCCGCCTTTTTTCCCTTCTGCTGCCGTCTCTGATGATGCTGACCCACCACTGCCACTACAGAGACGGTGGTTGCCATTGTTATTCTGGTGGTGATGGCGATGGCTGTTATTCATACTAACAGTACGTTTCTTGTCCTTCCCACCTTCGCCACTGTCCGGGGATGACAACTTCCTTGTACCGTTGCTTTGTCCCCTCATACTAATTGAACTCTCCGAATTCCTAAAATCCAAAAGGGCACAAAGAACAAAAATCATTACAAATTGACACTACAGAGTAAGAATAAAGAATACATCTAAAACAAGATTGATTCTAATAGTACCTTTAAGGCACAAATACAAACATAAAAAACCAATCAAAAAACCATGTAGGATTAAATTGCTTGTACACCCTGATTGACAATCTGTATGTATCAAAAATCAGACAAATGACGTTATCAGGATCAATGCATCACAGTATCAAAGTCTGTCAACTCACATGAGTCTTGATCAATGTGTCAATTTTTTATTTTTTTTTATGTACAGTAGCATAATCCAACCTATATAGTGGACATGGAAAAAAATTAAAATTTTGCACAAAGCAAGAAAGGAACTTACCGAAATAGCCTTGTGGGCTTGCTTAGAAAGTAGGGAAATTTTTAAGGGAGGGTCTGGTTTTACTTATTTGTTAAGGGTCAAGATATTTGAGTAGTTGAGTGGGGGGCAGAGAGGAAAGAACATTAATGCAAGGGATAAAAGGTCACTTCGGTTTGTGGCAAAACCTGGGCCGTCGGATAGAAATTCCTTGATGATTGCAATACGTGTTCTAACCTCTTAAGTGACGTTTTATAAATAGAATAAAACCATTTGTATAGGGATGGTTTTCCAGAATTCCTACGGAAATCTCACATGGAAGGTGGGCTCCACATGAATAAAATATTGACAAAAAAAATTGGACCCAACTTGTGTATATTCTGTCCATTTTTTGGGTGTACACAACTTATAAATAATACTTGCAAAAAGAAAGGAATTGAGGACATACGTGTCCCACTTTTCAAGACTCCAATGAAGAGTTAAATGAATAAAGTATAAAAAAGAGAGTGAAATTTTTTTGATCCAATCGAATTTGTAAATTACTCCTTCGCCCTATAAACATATACCCTTTTTTTTAAATTTCAAATTAAAGACTATTTTTCTATAGTTGATTTTTTAATATATTCTTATCTGATGTGTCTTGTTATTAACAAGTATGAATTATATATGTTTAAACTATTATTCAATGTAGGGATACATTTGAGGAATGTGAATAAAATTTGTAAGATGAAGGGAGTATTAAATAGTCCATTAAAACATACCTTAATTCACATCAAGCTTCAAGGACATAGAGTTATGATTAAGCAATAGAAAAATTAAAGGTTGACTTTAATAAATTTTGTGTAACAAGCTCCTGTTTGATAATTATTATTTGGAAAAAATAATGGTTTGAATATTAATTTTTAAGAGAATGCATAATTAAAAAATAATTTTTTTTTAATTTATATGTAAAATATTTTATTATGTAAATATATGATTAAAACTGAGTATGGTCAAACAAGGGCTCAGTGGGCATTCATAGATTATGATCATAAATAAATAAATATTTGAATAAATATTTAAATCATTTTTGAAAACATGCTATCCCAGATAGACGATTCTCTAAAAAAACAAAATTAAAATGTAATTTTGCTAATTAATTTCTTTTATATTATATTAAATATTAAAAAACAGAAGTGTTAAAGTAATTAATTATTGAGATATTAACATGTTTTATAACTTACCAAACCCCTTCCACAAAACACAGGATTCAGTAGAAATTACCTCAAAATTCGATGAGATGGAGAAGCCGGACGCTGTCGGAGATTTGAATATCCATTAATCGGATTTGAGTCCTTAACGTTGTGCTTCGTATCCGATCTAATGACCCGCCGATCGACCCGGGCACTGGTCCTTTGAACCGGCGCCAAACTTGCTGAGCCATTTTTACCGTTTCTGTCTTTGACCTCGGACTTCATGCCCCGTATCCTCTTCCGGTTCCCCCACTGCAACCCGAAGTCGGACGACGCCGTAGAAGGTGACCTCGCCTCTTCGGATCTCAAAAACAGTCCATCTCTATTTATTGATTGATTATTCAATTCCATCTCTAGCTTCTGTTTCGCCAATTAAAGTAAATATTTAGAGGAAAAATCTGCTAAATTTTGAAAATTAAAGATCAATGCATCATTTGAGGGTTATTAGTTGAGATTTGGTTTTCCAAAGTTATGAAATAATGTACCAGTAATTTTTCAGATGAACTCTCACCGGAATCTGCAAAATCAGAGTCCCATAATTTCATCAGTAAATAGTTCAAATCGAAAAATAAAATTGTAAATGGAGACTTTAACATCTGGGGTATTATCACTATGAATTTATAGCAATTCTTTTACATAGAGATTTGTCAGTGAAATATAAAGAAATCAAATTCAAAGATAGGAAAAAGTGCTAATTACACCGATTATCCAATGAAAGCCTGCAAAACGGAACTCCAGTTGCAATCACAAAACCTCTGGACTCAAATTTTATTCATAGAATCCGATCGAAGTGCAATTTTTCAAAATCTGGAATCTGCTAGAGAAATCAAACTTCAATATTCGTTTCAAATCAACTCCAATCCGCTTGAAAATGTTCCTGTGATTCAAATAACAAACACACATATTTGATATTACACGTAAAATTCGATAATTAAACTCCAAAACAGCAGAACAGTCACTTGTTCCAAAAGTTTAAATAAACTGACGATCAATAACTCACTGCATTTCCACTCACCAGATTTTCCTGGAAAATTGGTTTCTTATCTATTTTTCAAATTCTCATAAAATAAGAGAAAATTCAGATGGAGGAAGAGAAACAGTGATCTTTCTTTCTTCTTCTCAGGCAGATAGGATAAAATGAAGTGTAATTATATTCACACCACAACTTTCATTTTTTGAATTATAATTAAAATTTTATCTTTACATTTTCATCCTTAAACTTTCCATTAATTAATATATTTTGTATTTGATAATGATTTTATGCCCAAAAGTCCGTTAAAATGGTATAAAACAACTTATTTTTCGATCATATTCTTAAAATAAATAATTGGGAAGTACGAAAAAAAATATATTTCCCTCACTTCAAGCAAAGTATTTTGATGTACTAAAACGCGTTAAATCTGTATTTTAGGCTTAATTTTATTGTGATTCAGTTTAACGTATATTTTAACGTGTTCGTGATCCAATATCAATCAAATTTTACGACTCGGCACACTAGCGTGTAAAATGTTTAGTTAAAAAGTAGACAACGAACTGAAAAGGTAGTTAAATGAAACATTTTGTAAAGTTCAATAATGAATCTAAAATAAATAAAAGTTAATGGCGAAGATAACGGTAAGTGCAAAGTTCAGTCACCATTTGTTAAATTAACCCTGAATTTTACTTTCGTGCATCTGCGCCGTTTACTTATTTTCAATATTCTAATCCTGGAATTCTCCTGCGATATGGTGCAGTGGGCCGGCCAAAACATATTATTAACGTGACTTGGTTAGTTACTAACCACCGTTGAGTTAATTTAAGTCAATTATTATCATTTAGCTAAAACCTAATCCAATGAAGTAGCATCATTTGCCTGCGAATCATGCTACATTGTCAGAAAAGTTGACATAATGTTACATGACATTCTATCGTTAAACAGTATAATTAGAGTTTTCATTCGATCATCTGTCGTTGCATCTGTCAATTCTTGCCCGTACAATTTCACACGTACTAATATTAAAAAGAAAATTATGTTGTTACTCCTAACGATCAAATTTGTATATAATTTAATATTTTAGAAATATATGTTGCTGGTCCTAAAGAAGCACGTATTTATATCAAATAGTTATAAGAACATTATATTGCTTAAATTATACGTGTAGTATTCTAGAAGAATATGCTATGTTATTTTTTTTGAAGATGCAAGTTCTAAATAATAGTAATCGGTTATTCGATAAAGTTTTCTAAATAGTATTAATTTATTATTTGACAAAATTTTTTTTATAAAAATAATCAAATATTTGATTGTGAAGTTGACTTCTCAAAAATGGATAAGATTAAAGGTTGATTAGTTTGAAAATTAATAAAAATCTATCATGGCCGGGGAGAGCACCTGTACAGGGTGAATCACCCTGTACCATAATCCATAAACTTGAACTCATTTCGTCCCATTTGTATAAACTGTCTTTTCATATTTTTTTTTTTTGTCTAAATTATGTAGTCATATTCCATTGTTGAGAATATTTTGTCTTGTTCGTTTACTAATATACTCCTATATAATTTGCTTAGTTATAACCAATTTCCCTCATTTAATCTTAAAATTGTACGAATATAAAGAAGATTTTGCTACATATATATCAAAATTTACACATTGCCACATGGCAGTCAACCATTTGTCAGTTTAAAACGCAATCAACTTTTTTCATCCAATATTTTCCCTTCACATCATATTATGTAATACATTATGTACATTTTTTTTTTGTACAAATAGTAAAATCCATATAAAGATACCTAATTTTTGAAAATTAAATAATTCAATTTATTTACTGCTTCCAACAATAATTTACCACTAGTTGTTGATAGTTAAATAAGGGGTAAACCGTAAATTAGAAAAGTTTTTGGCAAAAATTACTTTTTCAATAACATTAAATAAGATTTCTTAATTCATGTGAAAAATAAAACCAGCCGTACAGAAAGAGTAACACAATTTTATAAAACTAGCAAGAAAGTCGAAACTAACATAATTTCAAAACACGTTGTGAAGCAAAAGAAGCGTAAATTATCGACGTCAAATGACAACTGATTACAAGAAAGAAATCATACATGCGAATAATAAAATAAACGTATAAGGCTGAGTTTGATTACCTCTGATTGAATCAACTTTGAGAGAGAGAGAAAGAGAGAGAGAGAAGGGTTTTACAGGCTGAAAAGTGAAATGTATAATCAGTTTCAGGTTCGGTCACCGTTCAGTTATTTATGAAATGGTGTGTACATAGAACACACAATCACGTTTAATATACCCATTACTACCACTTATTCAATACTTATTTATAATCTATTATATATTATATATCACATGTAAATCATTTTTTAAAGAGTTCTGACCCTACTATAATTCACTTATTTCAATAATAATTTACTGCATTTCAGTGTTATTACTTCAAATTATAAGTTAATTAGAATTTCACATTTAAGAATGCATTTCATTATTCACATTAATGTATGTTAATTAACATTTAATTTTACTGAATTGACAACTGATTACAAGAAAGAAATCATACATGCGAATAATAAAATAAACGTATAAGGCTGAGTTTGATTACCTCTGATTGAATCAACTTTGAGAGAGAGAGAAAGAGAGAGAGAGAAGGGTTTTACAGGCTGAAAAGTGAAATGTATAATCAGTTTCAGGTTCGGTCACCGTTCAGTTATTTATGAAATGGTGTGTACATAGAACACACAATCACGTTTAATATACCCATTACTACCACTTATTCAATACTTATTTATAATCTATTATATATTATATATCACATGTAAATCATTTTTTAAAGAGTTCTGACCCTACTATAATTCACTTATTTCAATAATAATTTACTGCATTTCAGTGTTATTACTTCAAATTATAAGTTAATTAAAATTTCACATTTAAGAATGCATTTCATTATTCACATTATGTATGTTAATTAACATTTAATTTTACTGAAAAACCAATTGCCTAGAAAATTTTTCCTATCAAACAACCTAAAAGGTGGAAAATGAAAAATAATTTCTAACTTCCATGGAAAATTCTTCGTATCAAAAAGGGCCTTAGTTAAATTTGTTTTCATTGGTTGATGCTATTTACACTGGGTTCTCATATCATCTGACCCTAGTGGCTTTGGAGCACGTCCTGCAATGCTTATAAAGTTTATTTACTTGTTTTAAGTAAAAAAACTGCTTTCAAAACTTTAAGCAACATCTTTTAAACAAACCATATTAACATTGTAACTCAATGCATCACGATTCAACAAAAACAAAACAAATCACAAAGGCACCCCATAACCGAAAAGTCACCCTACTACAGAACTAACCACTTCGACAGCTGGTACTACTAAACTAAAATAGACTCAATAACATTCACTGACGAAGATTGAAATACCAAGTATAATCCACACACAGATTAGGCCGGGGGCGAGGCTTTGGGAGCCCCACTAGGTTGCTGGGCAATTTGAGAAGTCGGTGCTGCATCATAACTCCCGACTGCACTACCACCCATTGAGCCATCAGCAGGGTAAGCTGGAGGTTGGGAATACCCACCACCATAAGAACTGTTATATGGTGGTGGCTGTTGTTGCCCGTAGTTAGGTTGAGTTGGTTGCGGTGCACTGTAGGTTGGAGGACCATACCCTGCCTGGGATGTCGAGAAAGCTGATGGTGGTCTCTGGGCACCAGAATCTGTCTGAGAGTAACCCGTTTGAGCAGGTAAAGGCTGAGAATGAGGATAGCCAGGCTGAACATAACCTCCTTGAGAACTAGGCGACTGCTGCGGTTGCTGCCCGTAAGCTGGCTGGCCAGTTGGAGGTTTTTGAGCCTGAGGAGGGCCATAACTGGCAGGTGGTTGGGTTCCAAAACCACCTTGTGAAGTTGGGAGTGCCCCATAAGCTGGCTGGGTCGAACCTTGAGGGGCGTAATTGGGATTAGGGTTAGGCTGCCCACCAGCATTGTACAACTGACCAGAGGCAGGTGCTTGATTGGCATCGCCCTGGGTTCCATACGTTGGCGTGTGCCCATCGGGTGTTGGATTGGAGACATTACTATAGGTAGCATTATAAACTTGTTGCTGCTGATCATAGCCTGGGACGGGATTTGCTGGGGGCTGACCATAACCAGATTGTGGGGCGCCTGCATAATATCCACCATAGTTATCTTGGGGGTAACCTTGTCCTTTATTGTAAGCTGGTGGCTGATTGTAAACATAAGCAGTACTGTCCATAGGAGCACCAGAACCTCCAGGAGCTTGCTGTTGTGGAGGTGGTTGCTGGCTATAGTAATCATAGCCACCTTCTTGAGCAGGCGGCTGATTTGGTGGTGCAGTTGTTTGGTCCCAGGCAGTGGCATATCCACCAGATGTGGGTTGAGGCGGATAACCAGCATAAGGCGGCTGATTCGGATGGGGAGATGGACCGGGGTACGCACCAGGCTGGACATAGCCATAACCAAGTTGTTGCATTGGTGGACCTGGCTGACCCCAATTTGCTGGAGGTCGAGCTTGATAACCTTGCTGAGGATATCCCCCGCTCATAGCTGGATTTCTGAGGCGATTCTGCACCAAATTGTTATCCCAAAATGAACCAAGACCGACTCATCACATTCATATGGAAAAAGTACAGGATATAGCATAACACCAAAAAAAGGGTAAAAACAGATGGCCAGATAGAACATGACAATGACAATGACAAAATACACAAAATATCACAAGCACACCAAATGTCACAATGCTATCACAATATACATGGCAGAGTTACATTAAGACATGATCAGATGCCTACATACCGTACTGGTTGGGTCGTATAATGGGATTGCTCCTGCAGAAGCCCATCCTCTCCCTATTCGAAGTGAAAAGGTACAAAAGAAAATTCCAAGAAACTATACGAGTTCTATAATATTAAAAACAAAATTATGTCCCCATGGCATATGATGCAGAACTACTAAGAACGAAGGGGCATAGTATATATACTGACACACGGATCATTAAGAAACTAGATGTAGCATCAAAATTGAAATTAAATATATATAAAAGTTATTACCAACCCGAGCAAAACTTGTACTCTAATTCTGGCCAAGTGTTAAATTATATGTAAACTGGACGGTTGAAGTAATAAATTAACTTAGAAGTACCAAGGATTCGTAACATCAAAAAGAAATTAAAAGAACTCCTGCGACTGGAGAGCGAGTGGAGTATCCATATGAACACTCACTAAATGTATAACAAACAGCCTTAGGCACTACTACACAATAGTTTTACCTCTCCATCCAATCTCGAAAGCCTAATCTTTCAGTTTCCGTCAATAGTGGGTCCTTGTTCTTTCCATGAGATATCCAAGTAATAATTAATAAATCAGATTCAAAGCCATACCAGAACAATGCCAAGGAAACACCAACATTGAATTGTTCCATGTTGGTGTGACCGATTGTCCGATAAACTCTTAGCTCCTACAATAGTTGCAATTGCAATATCAATTATCAAATACAAAATTAAATCAGCATAATCGGCTGCAGTCCCAGAGATTTTTCACTTGAGCATTTAACTAAAAATTACCGCAATTTCAGATACATCTTCAACACTACAAGAAATATATTACACTGCCTTAGTTACCTCAGTGGAGGGAGCACTTTGCAAAACCTGCCTCATACAAAACGAAATATCGGAAAATCCAATAAATCAATAAAAGGGTAAGATAATATCTCCAAAGACCTATCCTCAGCACTCATAATAACCATCTGACCGACTTTAGGAACCTAATTGAAGACAAAATGTGCAGGGAAGACAATATATCTTGCGGACGCAATATGGAAGAGTAGTTTTGACCAAAATGGATCGAGTTGATACACTACAGTACAAAAAACTGTGATATCCAAGTGCGGCATTGCAACTAGAAAGTAAGCATGTGTTTAAAACTATATCAGAGTTCTTCACCCACTTGCAAATGCCATTCTTCTTCATTCACGGATCATTTCCAAATCAACCAATCTGTACGCAGAGAAGAATAGAACGATATCTGCAAATCTATAGAATCACAAATGCCATATAGAAAGGCATATGAACGGCCTTATATCATGCATCAACTATATGAGAAAATGTCTCTCAAAAATATATTTGAGCAGAGAGATCCAGGAATAAACTATTTATATTTTCTACTAGGCGCAAATCCATATCAAAACTAGCTGAGGGAGGATACTAGCAACAATACTTCACATATAAAGAGCCAGAAAGGAACATCTGAACCAAAATAAAATTTATGGGAAGTTATCCCACAAAGTCGTACCCACCGGGAAACAAACTGCTAGCTATTAGATGTTATTAATCTCGAGGCATCAAATAAATATAGTAGGCTGTGATCTAAAAGTTTCAATTCCCAATAAATACCATTCACGAACACCAAAAGAAAGGTGAATTACAACAATGAATGCAGAAAAGCAAGTATGATAATCCCAGTCTTGAAATGAATCCATGATAACCTATATGCTGTCCCATGATTTTGAAGACCTTGATCATCTCAATAAGTATCACACTTGATTGAAAATGTTCTCAACCCAAGAATAGTATTACAGATGACAAACAAATAGAACAGGTATGGCATGAGTAATCATCAGCTATCGATTCAATTCATACAAATCTAAAAAGAAGATACCACAAATTAAAGTAAATAAAACAATTTCTAGATAGTATATTAATTGCATAGCCTGCTTAAAATCAAGACTAGCTAGTGTTCCTGGAAAATGGAACTTACATATTGGAATATACTTAAGAGGTAAAAGACCCGTGCCTACTTTTCTTTTCATAGGTAACACAACACATTGAAGCAGATAAGAAAAAGCTGCGCAAGACCAGGCAACTACTGAACAAACCTCACTGGTGACTTCATTGACCAACTGTTTTGCAATTTCAATCTGTTCACTGGTGCCATCAATTTGTAACGTCCTTTCTCTAGATGTATCACCTGGTGGCAAGTGCAGGGGTATCACCTGAGACGTTTAGGAGAAATTCATTTTTGTCATAACACTGTAACGCAATCTTTTATTGCCTAATGAATTGACAAAAGCACAAAAATCAAAGTTCCTGAGAAATTTACACCATATAATAGAATAAATGTTTTTAGCCTACCTGAATTCGAGCCCCAGATCTTGCTTGCATATTTTTAATGGTGTCACCTCCTTTACCAATGACAAGGCCAACCTGAAAATGGCATCAGTCATATTAAGACTGTCGATAGAATGTTCATTTAACAGTCAACCAACACTAACTAGTATATAACCTTATTATTAGCGATCTTCATTACAAACTGTTCTGCTCCAGAAGATGGTCCGAGCTGACGGGAAACTGAGCCAGAACCACCTGCTTCAGCCTGTTCAAATTAAACAAAAAACATTAGCACATATAACAAGAGAAAACAGCTTGTAAAATATAAGTAGTTCAATTCACTATTCTCCAAGCGCTTTCACCACCGTAATGCAGATCATCAAGTCAAGTCCATGTAAAGAATTGGGAAGTAACTTGACCAAAACATATTTAAGATGACTACTTCAGAAATTCATAGTGCTTCAACAGTCTTAATGCAACCGTATCAGTAAGTCTAATAACTGCACTTAGTACCTCAGCAAGAACGTCATTGATCAACTGCTCAGCCTTTTCTATTTGGTCAGGAGTACCCATGAGCTCAACCTCCCTGGTAGCAGAATTTCGGTCCGCATCCATGTCTCTGGTGACTTGAATTTTTGCACCAGACTGAACCTGAAGGTACCGAATTGTCTCACCGCCTTTGCCAATAATCACACCTACCCTGCCATTTGGTATCTCGATTTTCTTACTCTGTCCTGGTCCTCCTGGATAACCATATGATGCAACTTGTGGGGGAGCACTAAGACCCAATCCCATGGGCTTTTGCAAAAAACCTGTCATATAATATTGCAGCAGCTCAGGAACATAGTATTATTCATTTCAGACCACACTTACAAATTTTTGCCTCGAGACAACAATAAAATTTAAATCAGCCTAATTGTTAACATGGTTTACTGAATGAATTGAGCAGAGAGATGTCAGATTGTTTGTACAAAGAAAATATACATCAAAGTTTAAAACAAAAGGATAAATCTAAAAGCTAATGTATATATACCAAAAGATAAACACATCCAAACTTGAATATACGCTGTTTTTAAAAGAATATTTATTTACACTGACAGAAAGAATTACACTAAACTTGAATATACGCTGTTCTTAAAAGAATATAATGATTTTCACTAGGGTGCGCAAATTGATAAATATAAAACATAGATAGAGAAATAAGACATCAAATATATCATATGAAAAAAAATTATAAGCATGCGAATCAGTAGAAAAAGAAAAAGAATCATAGAAAATCCATACTCTGATCGTTGGAATCGAAGCCTCCACCGGCTCCATTCTCGACTCTGGCTCTTTTGGTGGGATCAGAAGTGTTAAGGAGTCTGGCGGCGATCTCCTGAGCCTTCTGCTTGGCCAACTCGATCTCGTTCAAGGGAGGCGGAACGCTGTTGTACGATGGGGGCGGAGGCGAAGAGAAGCCCGTCGGCCTCCGCACTCCTATCGCCGGCGAAGTCTGGTGGTCCTCATACTTGCGCTTGTTTGATTCGCCTACTCCCCTTGCGTACTGTAACTCCTCTGCCATTTTCGCAGTTCTGAACAGAGATTCACCGTATTGTGTAAAGCTTTGTGCGAAAACCCTAACTCCTAAGAGTGAAGATTCGCGATAACGTGAAGTGGGTTATTGGAGAGAGGCATCTTATAGTCGGGGGTCAGCCCTACGTCAACCGCTTAGGTCTGACCCACCTTCTTTTTTTAAAAAAATATTTTTTTTTTTTTCATCCCTTTAGCTAAAAATTGTTATTAAAATCTAAATTAAAGTCAACAATTATATTTACGAGTATTTTGGGTTTAAACATTAAAGGGGGGTTTTTGACTTGAAAAGATGATTTTTTTTTTTATAAATAATAATACTTTTCTCTTTATTGGATTTTTTTATTTTTATAAATTTTCTATTTGAGTTTCGTGATTTTATTCCAAGTTTTTTTTTAGTTATGCAAGACATTGGCTATTTTCAAAGTGAGATAAATAAGCCTGAGAAATAAATAAATTATTTGCAAAAGAGCGATAGATGTGGCAAGAGACTTTAAGACACATTGAAACTTCAAAGGGTCCATTTGGCATGACGAGATTTTTGAAAAGTTAGAAATTGCTTTGAAAAATATTTTTGAACACATTTAAATAATTTTTTAAAAGTGTTTTATCTAACTAAAGAAGCTTTAAAGGAAGCTAATATAAGCTCTTTTATAAAAAAAAATGTAAAAATTCTATCAAACGGGTCCTAAACATAGCGAGTGACAACAATTTTAAAACATTGTTAGTATTTAACATATATTTGACAATTCTAAGATAAGTCTTACGGTAAAAATTTTATAAAATAATAATGTTGGAATCAAGAAAAATTATTATTTAAAAAGGGTTATTAATTTATCGATAAATAAATAAATAAATATTTATTAATTTATAGAGTATTTTGTATTTTTATAACTTGTATTACGATAAAAGTATTTTATAACTTGTATTATATTTTACCATAATACATTTAAGAATTTAAAAGGAAAAAAAAAATTGAATATTGTGAAACTCAAGTTAAAGAGGAAAAGTTAATGTCAGCATACAAAAAGGCACACAATACACTAATATATTAGAAGATCAATTATTCAAGTTATTTCATATATACATGAAATATAGCATTTGTCTGATGGCAATTTTATTCCAAATTTTAAGCAATTATTGGACCGTTAGTAGCATCCATTGTTGACTTCCTTCACATATTTTAGGTAGCCATGGGACCCACTAACGTTCAGAATTCTGCTTTTAATTTCCTCCAGACAAATCCATAATTTCTACAGTTAAATTAAAAGAGGCAAATTTAAAAAAACTTGTCAAATTAAAAATTTATTAATTTGTATTAGTATAAACTTTTATTATTATATATATATGTTGAGCATTAAATAATCTCAAAAAAGATTATCTTAAGTATTTAATGAGATTATTAATTTAGTACGATGTCCCAAGTTGGAATTGATGAATTTTATTATTTAAACAAGATTATTAATTTATCAAACATTCATTTATCGAGATTTTACTTTATCTGTGTCGAACCTTGAATTGAGTTGCACTCGAAGATGTTCCATTGCAACACAAGACAAATGAATATCCCAGAGTCTTCCAAGTTCATGCTAATCTTCAACTCGCCGAATTCTTCTCGCGTCAACTGTCAAAAGAGTAAAGCAATTTATGACTCTCGACGCTCGTCTACGTAATTGGACTACATAGCATTGGGGCACGTAGCATTGTTCTTGTCAAAACTCAAAATAGTAAAAAAGCACAGATGTATAAGAAAGCTAAGTATAACTTTGATTTTCTTCACAAAGACGTATATTCCTTAAGAAACCTATTGAAACAACAACAACAAATGGCACCCGAATATCGATAATTCACATTAAATCCACACAAACAAAATCCACAGGCGGAATCCAGTGAGAGCACTAGCTTTTAAAATACAAGAACATAAAAAACAGTCGGGATTATTGGGGAGGCCAGGCCGAACTATAATAACTTTAATTTATTTCCACAAACATGCAGCCAAAAGCAGGAACTGTCTTTCACTTGGTCCACCAGTGGAGGAAATCCTTGCGCCTGCTGATCTTCTTCTGCAGCTGGAGAAGACCATAAAGAAGGGCTTCTGCAGTTGGTGGGCAACCAGGAACATATATGTCGACCGGGACGATCCTGTCGCAACCTCGGACAACAGAATACGAGTAGTGGTAATAGCCACCACCATTTGCACAGCTTCCCATAGATATGACCCACCTCGGCTCAGGCATTTGATCATACACCCTATAAGATAATTAACCATTAATTTTGAACTATTTATTCAAAATGAAATCAGCAAGATCCATACCAGAATGTAATCAAAGAGATAACGTAAAAAAAAAAAACTCATCAAATTCCCAAAGCATCGAAAAGTGTTGGCCTGTGGGAATATGTTACATCAGACTTAAAGGTTCTCTTTAAATGCGTGAATATTATGATTCTCCCTATTGTCTATATCCAGACCCCTTAATCCAAAAAACTTGTATCATGTTCAGATTAACACCTGGCGAGACAAGAAACTCCTTGCTTAGAGCAGTTTTTTCTATGAACGCTGAATCCATTGTGAAATTTTAAGTTTGCAATTATGGACAACCAGACACTACGAAATTAACCTACAGTATAAGAAATTGAGTATAAAATTAGCTTATGTATACTATGCATATGATAGTAGGATGGATTAAGTTGGATAGTATTTATTTTATTCAGAAGAATGTTATTTGCACTACGTTACTTGGCTAACTGGATAACATAACACAAAATGATGAAGTGGGTTTAGCCCGGAAGAAAAATAGTTTAAATAGCAATCTTTTGAATGAAAACATAAAATCCACCTTAATCCACCCTAATACTATCAACCAAGTACTAAATCCTCTAGTTTTATATCTAATTTCTTGTTCGGTATAATCTGGTGTGCCAAACATAGCCTTAGGAAATAAAAACCAGCATTATGTGGCTGCCAAAGGCTGCACTTGTAGCAAGGACCAAAAGCAAAGAAATGTTGGGAGATTTGTCTCCATAAATATTGGAGTAATACGTCAGGTCTAATTAACTCGGACTAATATCAAAGAAAAACCCCTTCAGAAGAAGAAAATCAGAGAAAGAGATAATATCAAGCCAACATCAGCACATCGTATGTTTATCGACTTCTATTGCATAATGTAATGTTGCAACTACCATTTTAGATACTTAAAATAAAAAAGGATCTTTGTAGAAGTAGCGGCCTCGTGACTGAATATGAATTAGAAGGTTGAATATTGCATTAATGAGCTTCAACTCAAACTCCATTGGCAGACATAACACAACGCTAAACTTCTATACCCAGAGGCCACTGCTGAGTGGGGTGGCATAAGTATCATATCAATAACAAGGATATGGAAAATTACTTAGGAAAACCTAAAGATGCAATGAAATATGGCTCAGGCTTGCAATTAATTATAGCAGAGAGAAATTGGAGATTCATTCACAAGGTAAAGTTCTACCCTTTTTGCATTGCATATAAAAGCTGGACAACTCAAATAACTAATACTGTTTGTAAGATGACACAAATAGCCATTGAACTAAAAGATATAACACACATTGTCAATGAATCAAAGAATTGAGTATATGGAGTAAAAAATCCAAATATAACTATTTTTTTAACATGTCTCGCAAAGTTGCGTTCACTTAATTACTGGTAGGATTATTTTCCAGAGTCTAATGTAAATAGTTATTTCTGCATATTTCTCACTTTGATTCACCAAAATAATCAATTATATAAGGGTCTCGTTGAGTCAGTAGGCATTTTTGAATGATCACATGGTTATATTTTTAACAGTTACACATACACTAAAAGTACCAGAATAACAACTTAATAGACTTTATCTTTCGTTTTACAGATGCTTACAGAGATTATTGCTCTAATATTTTCTCTACACATTAAAAATATTGCTAAAGCCTGAAAGATGTGAGGCTCCTTGCATTCTCAAATAGAAAGTGATAAAAGTAAGTAAGTAACAAGTTGAGTTGGTTTAGTGCTCTACTATGTGAAAAGAAAAAATATGGTTGGTTGGGGCTTACTGGCAAGACACGAGATAAAAAGTGCAGAAAGGTAAATGTTATACGAGAACTGTGTGAGTAGTCCTACTGATGCGGTGGTTCTAAAAAATCAGGGACGGGTACTTGCCTAAATCATTGAATAGTATGCACAATATGTCATAAATTACTAACGCTGAAGATTCACCACACAAACACATGTTTTTCCCACCAGTATAGCTTTTCCACAATGAGTATGAAAACTGTATGATTGTATATATTTTCAATTCAACTGCGGGGGATTTTTCTTCTTCCTGTAGTGGGGAAAATAAAATCATGGCCAAGTGTACCTTCAGTAAAATTAAACCCACAAACAAAAATTCAGAAGCCCCACCCACCAAAAGACAATTAACGATAAGACGACCTTAATTCCTCAAGACAATGCCTTAAAACTATTCAATTTAGCATTCCAATACCATATCACTAACCGAGTATAAAAAATATAATCGAGCAGTCAACTCAACGAGCAAAAACCTACTTGGATGACTAGAAGCATAATATCGATGCAATTTTTCACAACCCTAAACAAGGCAAATTCAACAATTATAAGTGACCCATCGCCCAATCAATATCTGAATTGAATATCTATAAGCCTATACCGTATATGGAGAAACAAATGAAAAATAAATCAAATGGAAGATTTACTTGCGGAGAGCAGGAGCCATCTTGTTAGTAAGAGTTCCGGCAACAATCATACAATCAGACTGGCGAGGGCTAGGCCTAAAAATGATCCCAAACCGATCCAAATCGTATCGAGCAGCCCCGGTGTGCATCATCTCAACGGCGCAGCAGGCCAGACCAAAGGTCATGGGCCAGATGGAGCCACGGCGGGCCCAGTTCATCAGATCGTCGACCTTGGAGATAACAAACTCCGCCGTCTTGGATAGGCCGGCCGGGGAGGAGGTCGACGGAGGCGGAGCCTGAGCGTACGGCGCCGGGGTGGAGGAAGAGGATTGGAGAGCAGGGAGGGTGGTGTGAATCGAGGCGAGGCCGGGCCTATGATGATATGGCGTCGTTTGAGATATTATGCGACCAGCGTTTCGAGCTAGCTGCGCCATTTTTTGTGGTCTAATTGATCGAGAGAGATGAAAAGGGGTTCGTGTTGCAGGGTTTATTTGGGAGGAAGAGAGTAGAGGTGAGGTGGGTTAATTTCGTCCGTTTGCCTATAGAATTATCCAACGCATCAAATGTTCAGTATTGGCTAATTTTGAATAATGATATTCATTATAAGGATGGAATATCGAAATGTCACGATCTACATAGAATAATATGATTGAACAGTTCAATTTTTATAAAAGGGAGGGAGAGGAGAGAAAGAAATATGAGGGATAATGAATTATCATATCAACGATATTCCATCATTATAATGATAAATAGTATTTCTCGTTCATTTTCGGATGTGTTCAATCGATTGCAATGTTTCGAAAATCACTCAAATTTTATTATATTCACGAATTGCTCACTGAACTTTAAGCAGCTTTAACTTATTGAACTTTTTTTTTTTGCCTGCACTCCATCCATCATCCTTAAAAATTCGATATTTTAGTGCTAACATGACGAATGAAATTTTGACGTGTCATTTAATGGCTCTTAAACACGTGACAAATCACATTTGCCGTCCTAATCAGCATAACACAAATGAAAAAAAAAAAAGACACCTCCGAGCATCTTCTTCAGAATCAATCACCACTCACATCCCGCCGACACATCTCTAGCAATTATCTTCGGCAAAATAAACTTTGTGCTGAAAATTCACACACACACCATACCCATCCCATAAAATGACCCCAATTTACACACATGTCGTCGCTCTCATCAAACCTAGTCTGTATCACTCCGCCGTCTCTTCAGCCTCTTTATTTTGCACCAAACGAACAACCAATAACAACAAAATCAACTAGAATTAGCCTTCAATGAACAACCAATAACAACACACATGATTCTCTCTCTCTCCCCACAACTACTGCACATCCTGCCATCGCATTCCGCCATGATCCGTAGTCCATATTCACCTTTGACTTCCCTACAATCACTGCTACTTCAACAAGGCTCAACGTCCTCAAAAAAACACTTGTCTCCAATTCGGATCTTTGTAATTTCGATAATGCAGATCTCCCAGTGTTTAACGTAAACCTTTTGAGACATGCTTCGATTGATATTGGTGAATCACAATTGAAGCAAGAGAATGAGGAGTTACTAGAGGGGGATTTTCGAAGTAGTGGTTGCAAGAGATCCCTTTTTGTCATCTAAGAAGTATAATATTGATGTGAGAACGAAGCTAGCTAGAGGCATTTCGGTGAAGCTCCGATTACACACAAATTCAATTTTTTTTATTTTTCAGCCATATATTCTCCATCATAACACTATTGCAAAATACATTTTTGTTGGGACTTAAACAACCCCCGAAGGTGTTAAATCATAATATATACACACATTAAATCAAGAAAAACACACATTAAGTCAGGATAATTTAATCGTCATTATCACATCCTAATATATAGCACATATTTCTTTTTGAATAACAGATTCTTTCATAATATTTCTCTCACCCACTTTCTCTCTCTTATTCTACAAATCTGGAAATCGTTGCATTCACATCTCCATTACATCTTAAATTGTTGCGAAATTATCATTGAAATTGCCCATAACTTGATGAGTATAGTTCTTTAACGGCAAATTTCGACTGCGTAAGTCACAATGTGATCGTCAGTTTTAGCATTTCATTAGTCTACAAGGGCTAGCTTCGAGCGAGTCAATAATTCGATGATTTAAAATTTGAAAATTTCAAAACCAGCACATTTCACCCCCATTCTAGCTATTTTTTAGTTGAGTAATGCTATTTAGCCAAACTGGAATTATAACATCAGTCAATATGGCGCTAATGTGATATTAAATGATAAGTGAAATTAAATGGATCATTTAATTTCACATTTCATTTAACATATCACCTAATACGACATAGATAATGGGTTATAACCCAATGAGGCTAAATAACATTATAATTTCTAGTTACACAGTAGTGAAGAATTATTGTTTCAACCCGCATCAACATTTATAAATGTGATTGTAAATCTGTGTTAATTGTGATTTGTTGTGACCAAATTCATCTTCATTGTAACTGTTTGTGACCATATCTGTCTTGGTCGCATACAGTCACAGTTAAAGACTTGTCTTGTCACAAACAATCACTATGAAGATAAACTTGATCACAATTGATCACAGATAATACAAGTCTGATCACAAACAATAACAGCATACGTATATTTGATCACAAACAGTCACTGTTAAACAGTTGATGTTCACATATAACACAAAACACACAATCAATAGGTTACAGTTTTGCTGAGATTTTATAAAATACACCATGGTCACATCCACCTCCACACTACCGAACTAATCTATTATAGGTAAAACTCTATTGCCATCGATATCACCCAAGTCGGCCGTCACCTCAAATCCACCTCATATCTATGTCTCATCCAATTATCCATCCTCGTAGACTCCCACGAAAAGCTATAGCGCAATACATGTGGATGTCTTCAATATGTGCTTCTGTGTTTGTATGTATACATACAAAGAGAGTTTGTGTTTGTGTGTATATATATAAATGTGGGGGAGGGAGAAAGAGAGAGAGAGAGTTAGTTTGTATCAGTAAAAAGGGAAAAGAAAGTTGTAGATAGATGAAGTAGAGAGAGAGCTTATATCAATAAAGAAAGAGAGTCGTAAAACATCAGATGAAGTAGAGAGAGAGCTTATATCAATAAAGAAAGAGAGTCGTAAAACATCTTTGTAATGGTGTGGGGTGTGAGGGTGGGATAAATCATGATTCACACTTGATTCAATAGAAAGAGATGTGCGTGGGTATATTATAGTGGGGTATATATAAATTGATATATTAAGAAATAAATATCTTCATTATCACATGACTTGTAAAATTAAAACTGATGTTCCTTATTTTTAAATAAGATACTTTATATGTAAGATTTTGGGTATTTTCCCTATTTTTGTTGCTCAATAGTGCTACAAATAAATAGGAAATGGATCACAAATTATTGGCCCAACCATTTTTCAAAGTGTAGCGTGTCGTCATTATGGTTTGGGAAAAATTCACAACTCATGCTTTATCTATCCCAAAATCAAAAATCAAATCAGGCCCAAAGGTTAAGAATTACAAAAATTAGGTTTTTCATGAATTAATTAATTATATTTTACAATTATTATATTAAATTAAATATTTAACTGTAATATAATATAATTAATCCACCCCACCCCAAATGCACCTCCACCTCTACTCCGGCGACTACTCTGACCACTGTTTTCCAGTCACAGATCAAAAATTTTGTAGGTCACAGATTATTTCAAGATCACTAATCTAAAATTTTATAGGTCACAATTTTTTCATCGATCACAGATCAAAAATTTTGTAGGTCATAGATTATTTCGAGGTCACAAATCTAAAATTGTATATGTCACAGTTTATTTCATTGGTCACGGATCGAAAATCGATCACATATTTTCAAGTTGAACTAAATAGTTGGTCACATACACTGAAA